TTTTCAAAATCATTTTTAGCACATTTGCGTTTTTCAATATTAAAATTAATATAGGGTGCAAGCCATTTGGACTGTCTAAATTTTAAAATTCTATGGTATTTTGTAGCAACTAAACCCAATTCCTCATATTTTTGTAATGCTTTATAATGTAAAATATATTTAGTTTTGTCATTTAAATTAGGTATTAATTTGCCATTCATTTTCTCAGGTGCTAATGGATAGTCATTATGTAAATCGTGTAAGCTTTTATCATATTTTAAATCAACTTCTAAAATGTATCCAAACTTATCATTTTGATTGTATTTGTAGTCTATCTCATTAGTCCAACGAAATCCATCCACAGGCAGTGTCTCACACATTGCTGTAGAGTATAGTGAGTTACAGTCTAAATATATTAAATACACACTCTCTTGATTGGGGTCATAGTGTTCACCCATATATCTATTATTGGCTTTAGCGTAACGTGTGGAAATCATACTGACTCCTCCTCTAATCGCACTTTCTATGAACAAATGCATGTCAATATCTTGAAATAATTGTAATTTTATGCCAGTCATTCTAAGACAGGCTTCCCATGTTAGTCCTGGAAGTGAATACATATGTACGGGGTCCAGTTTATAATCTTTTAAGCATAGGTCTCTAAAAGTCTCAAAGACATCAGCCAGTAGCAATACATCTGTTTTAAGATATAAATCATGATATTCTTGTAAATTATTTATATTAAAATGGGTCCAGACATTTTTAGCATGTTCATATTCAATGGGAGAGATATGTTCTTTAGTTAGAGTACTGTAAAATTTTTCAATTGGAGGTAGAGACTCTGCAAACTTATCTGGTCCCGTCATATATTCATAGGGAAATACGCCTTTACGTTGTAGTAGTGGATTGTCTATGAATCTAAATGTATTTAAATTTGAAGCTAATTTGTATAATGGAAGGGGCAGAAAGTTATAGGAATCCAAAAATACTAAATCATCAACTGAAAATGAAATGTACTTTTCCATATCCTTGGCTATGCAATTTAATTTACGATTAAACTTTCCCAAGTGTTGCATTATTAAATGTCCATCATAATTTTTCAAGTTATGAAAGAATACTGGTATTTTCTTTGTTATTTTATAGTTTAAATTACAATCATTATGGGCAGCTCCACGGTATCGGCCAGATGAATGACAATGATCACGTACCCTATCAAAATATAGGGGCTTTTCACAAATGTGACAATGCGTTGAGTTTTGGAAAGATGCCTCTTGTTCAGGAGTCATTACAAGAGGAATATATATCGCCATTTGACTTTTAATGAAGTCATAAGTCTCAAACAACCTTTTGAAAAACACGTCCATAACATTTTCGCCACTGTATAACTCTTCAGAAATAATCTTAGAATCTCTCACTACAACAAATGCAAATCCAGATGGAGTATGATTGTTTGAGTTTATAAAACATTCAAAATCTGCATAAATCACAAATGGGGCTTTAAGTTGATATTTATAATTTTTAAATTGTAATGTATCTTGTTTAGACATTTCCACTCGTTGGGCATCAAAGTTTTTACAATATGTTATATGACGCTCCAATTTATCATTAGTGTAAAAATGTTGTAAACACAGCTTACAAAAATGCTTCTTATGGTCGTGTTTTGTAGACCGCAGCATTAACCTATTAAAATCACGAATTAAACAATAATGTGATTTACGACCTTCTTGTAATAATAATAAATCTACATGAGTATTACTATTCAGTTTAGTTGTTTTTAATGGATATATACATGTATCATCTTCAACCCCAAATACATTAACACTTATATTATTTTGTTTTTCAAATTTATCTATATCAGCTAATTTCACAGGATACTTTATGTTTGACATATTCAGCTGACTTTCATGTGGTACATAATTGGAGACTCTATTAGCATTTTCATTAGAGTTCCTTGGATATAAAGCTGCTAATACCGACCAAAGAAAGCATTTATTATCATCATTTTTTATATTTAAAACTGCATGTTTCGATTTAATACTCTCTGGTGTAGGTATATATGACTTTGGAGTTAGGGGCTTATACTTGTAAACATGTAACTGCCAATATTTAGTATGGTCATATATCCATCCACTACCTTCCGCTTGATATTTGTGCATGGAAGCGTCAATCTTTAAAAGTGCATTTTCAATTTGAGGCTTTAAATCTCTCTTCTCAATAGTTAAGGTAGTAAGGCTTCTAAAATCTGCAATACATTCTTTTTCATTGACTAATTGTCCATTTTGATCCATTGAATATTTTATAAATTTGATTCTCCTTACTAAAGTCCATTTTATCGGCAGAGGACAAGACTGAAGAGTATTTTTAAGGTCAGCTCTAATCGATTCACCGACAAATTTAATCATTGTATATGGACATTTGATACAAGAATTGGCGTGTCTTTTAAAATGTCCAACAACATTCGTTTTACAGAAATTACAAGTCTTGTGATTTTGTAATATATGTGATTTTAAAGCCGCGTTATTATCACAGATTAAATTGCAAACTTTACACAGTTTCACCTTCATTTGATGAATTACCTTGTAGTGGCGAATGAGGTTACTTTTGGTGGAGAGCGACACGGAGCAGTGTTGACAGGTGGGCCTCATGGTCCAGAATGAAATATCACCCGAATGTCACTTCTATTTATAGATTTTTCGAAAATTTAAAAAAATTTTAACCAGAAATTGTGAAATTTTCAAAATTTTTAGCTAGAAATTAAAAAAATTTAAACAATTTAACTAGAAATTACTTCAACAGGAGGTCACCCACCCAAGGCTTAATCAAGAGCTACCACTAGAGACGAGAAAACTGACCATGAGTCGGGAGCGAGAAGCCTGACCATAGGTCGGGAGCATGACCGGGAGCATGCCATGAGCCGATTTCGCGTACAAACCTCGCACTGTTAAGTTGATGATTTTGTGAATATACATGCGAATGGATGTGGGTTTGAAATAGTAATGTAGTTGTACAATGGTATTGAACATTAATATAGGCTTGTATTGGTCGAGAGCAGGATTTTTGGAATTAGTGGCTAAAAAAAGCTCACCATTTCCAGACGTGATTTTTAGTATTAACAAAAGTAGAAAATTTATATAGGGGTGTATAGGTCGAGAGCTGGGTCTTTAAAAAAAGTGGCCAAAAAAAGCTCTTCCATTTTTTTCTCATTTTTCCCCTATAAAAAGTGCCCTAAAAGTGCCTCTAAAACGCCGAAAGTGGGGTCATATTCTGGTATTATATCTACTCTAAATTTACACTTGTAAGGGTCAATAAATATAAGAAATAGCTTTTTAGCTTAATATCAAATATATTTATGGGGAATAAGTAAGGAATAAGGTTTGACAATTATATAGGGATATTTAGGCAAAGATCAGGATTTTTGGTTTTGGTGGCCAAAAAATGATCCCCATGTTATTCTTATGGGGAAAACGTGCCTAAAGTGATGTCTCTTTGCCATATTGCCTCTACTACAATCAATTTACATTTGAACTTTAAATAAAAGGCCTAGCCTACGAAATGCTTTTGGTGTTGAAATGTTCCTAACTGTAATAAATAAATATTCCAATATCTATCTATTTTAAATTTAAAATAATTTGACTTTAAATTAAACCGAAAAGGATCTTTCAAAACACGAAAGAAAGCGGATAGTTACATATTCTCACCCATATTATTTTAAGTGTTTGATAAATCCCGCACTTTAAACATAGGATATGGTCTCAAATATGCAATTTCTAGCTTTCCACTCTTGTTATGAAATGTTATTTCGCCACACTGCACTATTTTTATAGACTTTCCACGCATTGGTCCGAAAAACAGCTGTTTGCCACGTGTTTAATCAAATGGGGTTTCATTACTTACTACCTTTGACTATTAATGCAACGAGACATGCCATCTCCATGTTAAAGTGGTTGTCAGTTTTTAAATCAAAATTGTAGTTGATGATGTGAGCCACCGACAGATTGTGCTGTAACTCGGTTGGGTACACGAATCTTTTACTAAGTAAAACTAATGGATTTTGCTATTGTGGACTATTTCAACTGTTATGACCCATCAACTTGGTAAACAACAACTAATAAGGAAGAAGGTAGAATTTTAGACACTAGCGCATTCTGTAACTGGCTCACACAATAATGTAATTGTTTAAATAAAAATTGGTGACATCTGGTCCATATAAATGGTATGACTAATTCAGTACCTAATAGTCAATTTGTTTTTATTGTTAGGTTAGTTAAGTGTAGTATGGCTAAAAGTTTCGTCCAAAATGTGTTTACCGTACTCGTATGGCGCACTTCGACTCGTGTGAGAACAATCACATTCGTCCGGTAAACAACTATTTTCCGGACTAGTAACGTTAAACTAGTGAGACACTCGTCCAAAATGTGTTTACCGTACTCGTATGGTGATCCAGAATTTGACTTCTTCTCACGCGGGAACAACCATACTCGTCCGGTAAAGACCAATTTTCCTATTACAAGTTCATGTCCCTTTGAGGTGCTAGACAGGTTGCCAGAGTGGTGACCCAAAGCCCAAAGTAAACATCCAAACTACATCTGTAATACTAAAGCATGCCGTTAATATAAATAACCAAATTCTCTTAAGCCTTATCCTCCCCCATTGCAAACGCAAAGCACAACTGCAATAAGCATTTTATACTTTAACGCCAACCCCGTACGAAGAACGGGTTCTCTGCTAGTTCTCTCATATATTCGAATTTAATTTTCACAATGAAATCAATTAATATACAGGGCAGTGAGACAATAATGTTGCTCATAGCGTTGCTGATAAAATAAAAATTGAATGGACCAAGTTTACTCATGTCTCTTAAATGTATTCAGTGTATTACTAGCAAGACTATTTTAATTTAATCTTTTGTACGTTTTAAAAGAATTTCAACCCTGAGAGAACCGTCACAAGTGCTTTTTTTTTAATTTTACAGTTTTAAGTTTGATGCTATCGATTTAATGTATGCAAACTGTGATTTTCAGACATGGGGAGTTCCAGTTCCGATGACAAGAACATTCTAGTGAGATCCGCAAACAAGACGAATCACGTGTCTCCAAAGCGAGAAATGAACCCGTGGCTTTTGACAAAGCTTCCATCAGTGTCCAGTTCATCCTCGCCTAGGAATATCCAAGAACCCACGACAGAAGGTGGGAGCATCATAATCGTAAGTGACTGGCTGTCTGAACGCAAGACTACAACAGAGGAAACGTCAAGTCCTGACTATGTTAGGCAGAGCTACAGCGTCGTGTCTACCGCTGGACCAGATCTGTCCACTAACCTAGACCATCTCACTACTGAACTAAAACAGGAGTCAAACTCAGATAAATCCGTCATAGTAAAAATCCATGACACCATTACGCCAGTAGATGAGGTTATCTTTACTAGAATAGATTCCCCGAAACAGAATAAAAATGTAAGTTTGGAGAGTCCGACAAATATTTCAGCTGAAGAGGCCCAATTAAAATTGACAAGCACCCAAATACCATCTACTGGTCTGTATTCGTCAGGTGTTACATTGAGTACATCTGTATCCGCTGATGAATTTGAAAAATATAAAACAATATCCAATTTAACGGAAATAGAGAGTACATCAGAAATAAAACCGTTGGACGCGATGTATCCACTAATACCAAGTATACCACCCATTAAAATTCAAGAAATCACTAATAATGAGACTGTTAATGTGACAGAAACTGCTCTACAGCCAACCACTCTGCACTACACAGGTGGTCTGAATGAGTCGGAGAAGACACAGTTAGATAATGACTCTTCTGGGAATATTTCAAATGATGAGAAAGAAAGTGATAAAGTGGTTGGGCATAATTTGAAATCGGAAGAGTTAAACTCACAGCTTAACCAAAGAATGGACACGACGGACTTACAGGGTCCTTTCTTTGTTGAAAATGATAAGGTCAGTGAAATCCCAGATGAAATTACATATACTCCCCCTGCTCTTGATACAAATACGAATGTTCCGAAAGACAATGGAGCCACTACTATTATTCCATTGAAGGTCAAATTAGAAACAAATATTATGGACACTCTTGAGCACTCAACTGACGTTGATGATCCAACTAATGAAAGTACTATGACATACAATAATACTGAGACTGAAATTACTACGAACGCGGTTTACACAGAGTTTACTACTATTAAACCAGAAATAAAAGACGATAAATTAAATGATTCATCTTCTTTGAGTGGGCCAGATTTACCAGTAACTGATAATGTAACATCCGTTAATATCACTCAAGAAACAAAAGATTCTAAGGTAGGCACACAAATGCTAGAACAAGTGAAGGAACATTTTACTCAGGATGTTAAAGTAGACTCTACAGACACACCAACATTAAACAGTGTTTCAACAATGGGGGGAAGTGACGAACCCCGTGAGGTAGAATTGACTTCAGATGAACCTCCAGTGCTAGAGTTGAACAGTCATGTTCCTTTTCTGCAGCTAGGTGGTCATGAAAATACTGATTCATCCTTCAAGGAAACTCACGACACGACCATAACAAATGAAAAAGACAAAGAGTTGCTTGTAACTGACTCTTCCTTGGACAACAATAACCACGATGTGTTGACAAATCAAACTAATATTGTTGAAGGTTTTCCTAGTATAGAAAATGTGACAAATTATGTAACCAACCAAACCAACGCGCTTGCAAACGAGAAACTAATCGAGAGCAACGAACTTGAAACCACAACTGATGCCATTTTTACATCTTCCCACATCCCTTTAAAACCAGGTGATCTAAAAATCATAGCTGAATATTTAATAAATGACACCATCAAACCCGTGGTAAATAATAATTCTGATTATTCTCCTCACGAATGGATTAAGGGAAATATAACATCACACGAAATTATGTCTACTATCATGTCCGCAGCAAACATCAGTATTGCTATAATTGATAAAACTGATAATAAAGCTAACAGGCTCGTTGAAAAAAACAATAGAAAGGGGAATGAACAAGGTTTGGAAAAATTTGAAAAAGACAATTCTTTGGTGAGGAACAATGTTTTGAACAGCTTGAAAACAGGCAATAAAACTCGTTTTATTCACGTGAAGGGAGATGATTATTTACATAGTCCTAAAGTCAACCCAGAAACTGAAGTCCCAGTAAATGACGAAGCAAAAGGCGGATCGGTCTCTGACAAAGACAGTGTGGAGAATTCAACTATTAAATACAATCTCAATTCCCACGAATCAAAAAATAACTTATATGTAAATAGAACTGAAACAAACACACTAAAGAACGAAAACACTTTGACGCCTATTTCTACACAACATACAGATGCACACATTACATCTGGTAGCGATCTTCGATTCGACAAAGTCAATCCTGTTGAAGGCTCGACGGTTCAGAATATAGAAAATCATTCGAATCTAAAAGACAAGTTGTAAAATTGACATCTGTATTGACTTACTGGGCCCAGGATTAATCTATAAACATCCGCATATTTAGAGGAACGGTACACCGTAGATGAGCGAAAATACTATGCTTATCCATGACTGACTCGAAATTAATTTCATAATTTGTATTTCCTACAAGTTTTGTTACAATTACCTTAGTCGACTTGTTATATCAAGATCCGACCCAACTTCCAAAGCAGTATTAAATTGTAGATAATCCCTTCTTATGGCTCTGACCAAAGAAGAAAGGCAGAGCTGTAGTCGTTCTTGATGGTAAAATGACTTCCATAGCCAATAGGTATTTTATTTAGCTAATAATGTGATCTTTTTAGGCCTACTTAAATTTCAGTTGCAAAATAGCATGTAAATATTGACCTTTTATCCAAATTTATGTTGCTATGTGAAGGTTAAATAAAAATTAAAAGCAATGATTTAGAAAATTGTTAAAAATTCCGTTTGGCTGTAAGTCATTTCCTCTGATCTATTAATGCCGACTTACGCTCTAAGATCTGTGATAAGACACTGTAATTAATATATATATATTTATTTATTTATGTTTATTTATTGCCAAATAAGTTATTGGGTGATACGTTTCATGGAACGTTTTGTCTGGTAACTTATTGGTTGTTGGTATTTTCATACGAATACTCTAGGTAGTCTACTATAAGCCAGTGTTTGTAGTCAGAATGTGCATTTGTTACTTGCGTCGTTAGCAGTGTTAGATATTTTAACATGTAAATATTCATATTATTGTAAGATTATATTTATTGATTTTAAATAAATCTGTAAAACATCTATTGTCTAGTTTTTACATTACCTGTTAAAGAATTAAAGCAAGAGTGTTGTTCATTAAAATGTGAACTTGATTTATTTTGCATTAAAAATTACGATTCCTAAAATATATTATCCACTGCAGATAAAAGACGGGGTTTTTACTCAACACCCTTGCATTCCTTTAAAACCGTATGGTTGGAGAATTTTAAATATGTTGTTTTTGATCATATAGATGATCACAGCCTTAACAGCCAGTATTATGTTCTCAAATCTACAAGAGAAAAACAATTGTAATTTTCAGTTAAGTTACAGAACTAGTTTACCCAAATTCTTCAGTTTATTAAATGTGTCAGTTCGGCTAGGTTATGTTACATTATGTATATGTGAACACGCTAATGAAATGCAGGCATACAAACAAATATGTTTGTAGCCCCTCATATCCAAAAAGGTTGCCGCAAACCAATTTCAAATATCTCATGGTTAAAAATTTAAAGGGGTTCAAGTAACTTTTCAGCCACCATGTATAATAAATGCATTTAAAACTAACTATAAACAATATAATAGAGAAAAATTATTACATTATAAGTCTTAAAAAAGAAACTGTAAGGTTAATAGCATAAACATTGTAAATCAACATTAAAGTGAATATTCTGGGTACTTAGGCGAAAGCGAATACAGAATTAAGAAATTATACTCTTGGGGAATGGAATTTCGCCACTGGAATATGAATGTCGCAATTTACACAATATTGGAGCTGCGCTGAGACGTTGAGCGGCTTTTAGAAATGTTTGAAAAAGAGGAGAGTTGTGTTGTGAAAATATTGAATTGAGCAGCCCTTTGGGTCTTTAGGCCTCTGATTCAAAAATTCTATACTAGACATTCCGGCAATTTACAGCTTATTTATTACTACTTACTTTTCTACTTAAGCTATATGTAAGGACGTTTTTTATGTATTAGTTTTTGATTTATTATGGACTGGCACCTATACCCGTGCCTTGCAACGAGGTCAGTGTGCAAAAGAGACAATGTTGGTTCTTTGAAAATGGCTTAAAAATTTATTCACATCTACAATTTAATTTAGAAACGAAAATAAACTGCATTACTTAACTTGATAATAGTACGTTTTCGTTACAGATTTGCACATCAGGATTCCAACCAAACAAGACAAAACAGCGTGGTTTTATTATGCTCGTAATCCGTGTACTCTTGGAAATAGGTTGGCAACACTTAAAGATAATAATACTATGATCAGCTGATTACCTATTATAACTACGATTTAACCTGTCATTTCGTGTTTATAGTTTATATTATATTTCCGCTCAACGCTTGGTTTGAACAAAACCTAAAGTGTATTATTTGAAAGATGAATTATAAGTGGGCCTAACATGTTTAAAAATAATGAACTCGGTGAAAGTGATTATGAATATAATGCTAGACTAGAAATATCAGAACCTGAAAACATGTTTCATTAAATATGTTACATGAAAAATCAAGAAAGAAGTATGAACGAGTATGCGAACTGTTTTCCTCTTGGCCCGTAAGTAAGAAAGTTACAAAACCGTCAGAAAATGTTTTATTTGCATATTTTGAAGAAAAATCTACTTGTTTATTATGTGTTTATACTGATTATAACTGTTTATACCTGTACTCTTGCAAACAAGTAACACTTAAAGATACTACGACTACAATCAGCTGGTGCAGTATTTCCCATTCCGTTCATGGCTTGGGTTTAACCTAACCTAAAAATGTGTCGTATAGTGTTTGAAAGACTAATTATTTATATGCTTAATAGTGACTGTAGGAAAAATATAATGTGAAACACGAGTGCAAATAATGGCCTTTGCTGCACTCGAGATCATTCCGTAAACTTTGCTCTCATGTGCAGCTTAGTGCCAATTTGCTCACTAGTTAAAAAAATATCTATTTCCTACAGTTACCTAACAATGTACATGTTCTCTCACTGATTTGAGAAAGCAAAGTGGCCAATTCGCTCATCAGTGAGACAATGTTAACATTGTCTCACTCTAATTACTTTGTCTCACTCCAGATTTGCAACGTGAAGGCACGAAATAGTGAGCGCGTAACATGCAGGCAACGTCGTATGCGCGCGATATACGTTGGCAGCACTGGCTGTAAATCAGCTGGTCAGCTGTTGTACTGTTGTATTTGTCACTTCACATTAAATGTTATATTAAAAGTTCACTTCTATGTAAAAATAGGTTATGTTTCTTCACAAATTTATTTGTTTTATGGTAACTGTAGGAAAAGTATAATGTGCAACTCGAGTTCAAAGTACAATTGCCTCACTCGAGAAAGCATTCCTCACTCGCCTACGGCTCGTGAGTAAGGATTTCTCTCGAGTGAGTCAATTGTTCACTTTTCTCACTAGTTGCACAAATAACTATTGTCCTACAGTTTTTACAAATCCAGTCTTTCAAACACTATGTACACGTTTTTAGATTAGGTTAAATCCAAGCGTTGGACGAAATGGGAAACGCTGCACCAGCTGATCGTAGTCGTAGTATCTTTAAGTTTTGCCAACTTATTTTCAAGCGTACACATATTAGGTGCCTAATAAAAGCAAAGAGCTTTGTGTTTTTTGGTTGAAATAATGGAGTGTGGCAAAAATTACTGCGACAAAATAAAATGAGTGAGGCAAAATTAAGGAAATGCAGCAATTAGCTATTTTGCGTTGATAAAATCAATAAAAAAAAGAAGCCCACTTTGTCAGGTAACAGTAGGAAAAAGAAATTTTGAATAGATCAAATTCAAATATAGAAACAATGAATAGGAACAGAATAAAGTGTGTGAGTAACTTAACTAACAGTAACACTTACTCAACTCAAATTTATCCATGCTCAAGGTAAATTACAACATATTTTGATACATTTATTTATAAATAGCCAAAGTGTTGGGCTACAATTTTACTTTGTTTATACTTATAAGTTACAAAAAATCAATAATTAGGTTAGTCGACATTCTGAATTACCGTTATTAGTACTTTCAACATTCCAAGATAGCAAAGCAATGCATACTATCTTGTATATCAATTGTGCCTAAATAATTATGCATTGGTCAGAAAAAAATGCAAGTTTTTTTAAAAATAGGAGGACCTTGTTACAACGACAAAATGGCGCATTACACATTTAAATTGTATTTATATTCGTGGTTTTATTTCAAGTTTGGGAATTAGCAAAACGTTTTTACCTGAGGTACAAACGCGGCTATTTTCTACCACAATTTAAATTGAAGACAATCACAGTGTAGGCTACAATTGTTTAAATGAGGCATAACGATTTTTGGAGTACAAAACGAAGTATTGAATGTTAAATGTATGGTTGCAAAAACATTTTGATAAAACTGTGTGTGTGGTGTTTTTTTTTTCATTTGTATGCATATCACGCACAACAAATCAGCCGCCTCTGGTTGAAAACAATTAGATAAGGAAGGTTATGTGTCGGTATTAAGTATATGTTATGTACTTAAATATGGTTCTTCAAGTAAAATAATGTGTTTTTATTGAAATTTATATAGTTTGGCATGAAATACCAAATCTGCCTGATTTGATTAAAATATATCTATAAACAGACCTATCACAACAGTTTTCTTGCTCTCCATAAAAATTGGGGAATTCAATTTTCTGAATTTAGCGAATTTCCCGTGGCTATTTCAGTAGGTGGTATGGCAACACCTTGACCCGGAATACTTTTTCATTTTGATGACTCCAGAGGCATTACTTATAATCGATTACTATAGAGTTAGGATCGGGTTATTAGTATAGAGTTATACATGTTCAAAAATGTAGGTTTTCAATTTCCATTCATTAAAGCATGAACTGGACAAGCCCAATTGTCATACACACGTCGTGTATGAGAATCAGAATGCGAATGATTGAATGAGAGATAATGAGAATGATTTATTTCCTGAAAGCATCAATATGTACAAGAAAACGCCAATACATCAACATCTTAGCCTAAGCCTGCAACCATAGACTAAGCAACTCAAGGAGTATGTTTTATCTATGCTGCAACAAACCATTCAGAAAAGTGAAAAACAAAAACAAAATTTATTAATCATTACACTTGGCACTCATTGACTAAAAAAGCTTACTTTCTTGGCCAGGTGAGATTTCAAAAAATTCTTTGAATGAGTAAATCGGATTTGCCAACAGAAGACATTTTGTTGGTCCTACTGTGTGACATTTAATAAATTGTACCTTTTTGAATTTTGTGAATAAAGTGCGTTTTTAGTGAAATGGTAATAACTTAGTTTTACATAAATACATTTTCCTAATCTTATAAAATTGACCTACAGTAACAAACCATAACAGTGTATTTACCCTCCATACGTATAACATGGGAATTTTTAAATATTTAACCGTCCAGGGGCTTTTTCCACACTGTATATTAATTTGAACGAATGGTGCCACTGGGGACCTCAAAAATATAAAAAAAACGGCCACGGGTCTAGGTCCTAGGTCACGGGTCTAGGTCCTAGGTCACGGGTCTAGGTCCTAACATGATAACTACATTTAATAGCTTTGTTGATATGGGATATTCGCTCAAATGCAGTTCATTTAGACAATATTGGTAAATACCTGCTGTAAAGTCGCTTTTGCCTGCCTATAATCTTAAATTTTACATCTTGAAGCTTGAAGCAAAATTTATGGTTATCAAGGTTGGTGATTTTTCTCAGCTTATTTAAGTAAACTATATACAAATTGATAAATAGAGTCAGCATAATATCAAATGTTGCCTTTAAATGATGAAAATAAAATTAAAAATTCAAATCGCACTATTTCAAACTACTATAGTCTTCAAAACATAAATACTTACAAAAACATAAAACCATATGCAAACATACAAAACATCAATTCGTAAAATTATAAATATTACAAATTTAAATTTATTAGAATATACAGTATATTTTTCTATATACAAATTATAATGAATTTGTAAACACTAAAAATAAAAATGTACAATGATGAGAATCCAGTTTCGTCTCTGATATGTTTTATATTTCTGAATTGGTAATAAGCACGTGTAATTAAAACTAATGCATGATAAATCATCTAATTAATTACAAACTGATGCGTCATTCTAAACTCTCTGAACTGTTTGGTCAGGACATTAACTTTGTATAAAATTA